CTCTGAGGGAGGCCTTCCGTGTCTGTTTCTTCGGTGAATAGAGGAATGAGTGTTGTTTGGGAAATGGAACACAGTTCAGACTGTTTGAGGCATAAAAGCTTCATTGAGTGAGGATGGAAAACAAGGCTGAGGGGTGGGGACAGCATAGGTCAGATCCGAGTGGAGTTGGGACCCTGTGTTAAACCCTTTGGATTCAATCTTGTTTAACAGGTTTTGGGCAGCCACCTATGTGGTTGGAATTGGGTTCTGGCTGCACAGTGGGGAAGGGCTTGGCATTAAGCATGGCAGAATGTAGATAAGAGGAGAGGTGGGTGCTGATACCCTAAACTAACAGGGCTCCGAGTGGCAGACCCTCCCTTCTGGCTTTCAGAGAGGTTCAGTGACCACCAACAGCAACAGACACTCTGCGGAAATGGATCTGGAGAGCTGTACATAAGGGCGGAGAGGATTCCCTTTCAAATTCCTTGATCCCAGTATGTTTGGAAGAGTATGTCAGGCACTGCACCTGTCTCCCTTTAACAGGTGTCAGTTCAGCTATTTATGTGATCCAGTGATGAACGAGTATTGGGGTCTGAAACTCTACATCTTTATGGTTTTAAGCATAATCTTCATCTTCAACTTGATAGAATAAACTCCTACCTTTGTGGCAATAAAACCCATTAGGATTTTAATCTAGATAAAAAAGCAAAACTGATTTAAAATGTCTAAAGAGAAACCTTTAGTTTCCTTTTCCTCTAAATGATCAACTACCTACCGGCCAGCCTCAGAACAATCCCATTGCTCACCAATAGTGATACACCTGGTGTTTAACACAACACCGACCCGGTTTTTCGAATCCAATCACAAAACTATTTGTCAAGGGGAACCAGGCAAAATGGAATTGCTGTCATCCAAGGCAGCATTGAATTGTTTTTCCCTTGTTGATTAAAATATTTCAGGTGATGTTGATACACCGAGTCTGGAATCAGAGTTAATTGCAGCTGTGAAGTCCAGAGGATACGCGAAGAAAACAACAGAACAGCCTCTGTTTTCATTTTTAATTGCTCATCAAACAAGAGGTGCTGGGTGCCTCCCTAACAGGCCAAGTGGTTTCCTGGGCAACGCAACAAGAGTCCAGTCTAGGGGGTGATTTAAGAAAGCTAGGAGCTGTTACAGAGTCCTGAACAAGACTTCTGCCCTGGAGACTAGGGCCTTGCCTGGCTTTCTGCTGACTAATATGTCTTTCTCACTTGTTTGATCTGCACCTGCCCAAGAAACTGCTTCAAGAGCTAGGAGTGTGGATCATAATTTGCTGCCCATGTTCAGTTCAGGGTCAGAAAACCCAATTTGAGCCATGCTTTGATAGCTTTAACATTGCCTGCTGAAGACACCTAGAAATTGCGGAAATTGTGAGGTTCTTCGAGGTCTTTGCCAGGGCTTGTTGGAGGAGGCATAGCACTACGTGGAAGGAACATTGCCTTGGACTTGTGCACAATAGGTGTTTAAAAATGCTGTCCCCTGAAAGTGCTTGTATTAAATGACTAATGAAAATGACTATAAGCTTCTTCAAGATGTTATAGAATGTAGAAAACAGGGTGTTTTGTGAAATGATTATTTAATTCACTTAGGGTGTTTTGTCACTAATTCATACATAGTTGGACTCTATCTGAAGGAATTATGTATAAATTGAACTGTGATTCCTTTTACAACTGCAATAACCAAGATTGTATCTGATTTAAGGCTTAATTTGCATGGTTGTTGAGTCTACCTTTATATTCGTGTATTGAGGAGGTTGGAGGATGGAGGGATGGAAAGTAAATTCTTGGCTCTGTGTCTAACCAGCCTCTTTCATGCCTGTTCTATCCAGGACACCTGGACTGCTTCCAGTTCAATGAGCGAGGTGCCAGGTGCAAGTGCCTGCAACGCCTTAAAGTTGAACTTGGTTGACAGTTCAGCAAGTGAGTTCAGCCCAGACAGCAGACAATAGGAGGGAGCCCTCTGACCTGGCCTTCACTCTGGCTCCCCGGCTGTCTCTTTATCTCAGGGCAGAAGCACAAGCTGGGAGTTATGCAATGATCTCTGTATTTGTTAGAACTAAAAGAGCACAGCCAAGAAAAGGAGGAGAGGAAGCCCTGTTCCATTTTATCTCATCTTTAGTAAGTCTGAATTGTGGCAAAGTCACGCACAGGGCATTCTCAGGGCCACGTAATTCCCGCTACGTCCTCTTGATGGGATTCATGTTGACCCAATGTTTGTATGTCGATGTGTGATATTGTCTGTAAATATGGAAGTGTATTTTTAAAATTTATTGTGGTGGTTAACACTTTCTGAATCTGTAACCCATTTTAAAGTTTGGTGACAATCACAGATCCTCTTCCCAAAAAGAATGCTCCCTGATAGATGCTGCAAAAATTTGGATTTAGTTTCCTCAAAGCCCTGTCCCGTCTCAACCAACACGTTCTGCTTGAAAGCAAAAAGGCTATAGTTCTAAAGATTTAAAAATACGCAATATTCTTTCTGGTCTTGTTCAGCTTATACGTTATGTAACATGACTTGTCCTCATTTTAATTGAAAGACTTGTGTCACCTCCCCCTTTATAACAGAGTGAAGATTTTCTGACACAAGCATGTCCTGTACAACAATCTACAGTTATTATACAGAGAGCACTGGCCTTGATCATTGCATGCCCGAGATGTTGATCTGAGAGTATGAGCTGTGGACAGCAGGGTCATGCTCAGCTAAAGGCCATAGGTTCAGTTCTTTTGTGTGGTCCCTCATGTCCTCTTTTCCTCTCAAGTATTCAAACTATTCCTCGCACTTCAAGGCCCAGTTTCCATAACATTGTTTTTATGATTATTATTTTTTTTTTCCTGGAAGCATGGGCACAGTTTCTCTTTGCCGTATCTTCTCATTGCACTTCTTTGCAGCTACACATTGCACGGCCCTTATCAATAAGGTCTATAACTCTCAGTTTCCTCACCAGAACACATTGTTCTTTGGATATAGCAGCTGCTCAGTATGAGCTCCAGGGGCAGTGAAGGCAGACTGGAGTTCTAATTCTAGCCGTGTCATGAATTAGGCACTTGCTTCAGGAAAAACATAATTTTTCCAGCCATCTAGTTTTCTCTTTTTGGAAAATAAGTGCGATAGTATTAGTTTTTGCCTCACTGAGCTATTGTCAAGATTACTTAGTGCAAACGCATAAAAATATTTGGTACAGTATTGGATCATAGTTAAGTGTTGAGTAAAGGCAAATTATGTAATACAATATTGGAAACAAACTTTTTATAATGATTTTTCTTTATCTTCTTTTGAGTCTCTTAACCTAATAATAAATTGGAAGGCATCATACCTTTTAAAGACAAGATCGAAGTCTCATATTTTTTGGGTGCTTTTAAGCAATTTTTACTTATAGTATGTAATGATATTTAGTGATTGGTTAAGGTTGTGACTATAAAGTAAATCAAAAGCATGTCATTGTAAAAATCAAAAGGAAAATCAGAAAGGGAGGAGGATGGAAAGAGGAAGTCAGGAAGAAAGGGAGACAGTGTGTGGGCACTATCTTCATGCCCTTAAACTGTTCCTATGACATAAATGAAAAATTTTCCCAGTATAGAAATTAGAAATTAAAGAAAAATCCTTGCTAAAAATATGTAGTCAACTAATTTGATTGACAACTTTTCCCCTGCTGTTCTAGTTAGTTCTAGGATAGCTGAGACATCTTTATGTTACCCTCTGACATTGGTTGCCTTTGACATTGTCCTCAAAATTGAACGTCATGAATCCCTGGTCAGCAAGAAATCCTAAAAACTGGTTAAGCAGATGATTCACGAGAGTTTTATCCCGAATGGTTTTTGAACCCCATTTCCAGGTTTCTTCCTAGTCAGTATCAAAAGGATCCTGCTTTTTCCTACTTGGGATTAGGTCTGACACTTTAGGTGGAGAAATTCATTGCTGGAAGCATTAATATCTCAGTGTGTTGCAGTCACACCCTAGGATACAGGAACTAGCATAGGTATTTACTCTAGGGGTTTGGAAAAAATTACATTTTAGTGTGTCTTTAGTTAACCGCTCAAATCCCTTTCAAGCTAGGATTGCACTGGCTTGGATTTTGCTCATTTTGGGTGTCTGAACACAACAATGTTTATGGTCAGAGATCAGGTTTCATTCATCTTTATAGTCGAGATTCTAACATGTCAGTTGATAGGTACAGTATAAAACTGTTAATTAAAAAAACACAAGACTATCTGTGGCATTGAAGAAATTACAAAATATGGTTGCATTTTAATGAGATTAAAATAAAAATTGCTAAAATCGTCTGCACTTCAAAGGTTTGAGTAAGAAAATTAATTTTTCCGAGGAAAACTTTATTATCTGAATCACATGTGTTGGAGTATCTTTTTTTGAAAACTCATTTTTGTTCATTGGCAGCGAGTATTTAGCTTTGTACTATTAATGAAATCTTCACCTTTATTTTTACTTTAAGTCTTTCTTTAATATTTGGCAAAATTCCTTTTAATTTCCTGTTTAAAGGAGAATTCACTATGTGTTATTAATATTCTACATGTAAAAGAAATGTTTCATGACCCTAATTCTCATGTATAAATCAATCAGGAGCAGTAGATACTCTCTTAAACTTGAGATTATTTATTCTGATGTTGAGAATTATGTAAATATTTAGGTTATGTGCAATGAATCAACTATTCAGTTTTTCTGAGTAATGATAAATCTGTCTAATAAACGACATTGCACAAAGGTTAGACTTGACAGGAAGAGAAAACCTATTTGGGAAAGCCAAACTCATTTTGGTGCAAACTGAATACTGGATATTCTCTTAAATCCCTGTGATCTCCCTTTGGGGATATGCTGGATTGATTGCAAAGCCATGCTCTTTGGATGGGGTCTCCATGACTAAGGCTGATCCAGAGGGAAGGTGCTCTCCACCAGCAAGATTCTGCCTTTAGTCCCGGGCCTAAGAGCATTGACCATGCTCTGTCCAGTTCCAAGCTGGGCTCCCTTACCTGATATAAATTGGCAAGGTGGTGGTTTGTTTTGATCAGAAATGGCTGGTTCACACCAGGATGGTCAACATCATGTGCTGCTGCAGCCAGTAGTCCAAGCATGATATCCAGAGGTGTGAGGAAGCTGGCGAGCTATTGAAAAATCAGATTGGAAGGACGGGTTAGTTTCTTCTGACTAGGTGAAGCCTTTGTTCTGGCTCAATCAGAAGGAATCACCAGCATTGTTGAGGCTGTCAGTCAGTCCTTTTCCTTCAGAAGTAAGGAGGTAATGTTTGCATGAGGTCATAGAGAGAGAAAAAAAAAGAAAAGCTATGTACACTGTAACTGAGTAAGCTCAAATGGTGCAACTCCTTCAGCTACTCCTGTCTTCCTGCCACTGCTGTTGTGTTTCGCTGCTGTAATGGCTTGTTGGCCATACTGCTTATGCTGTGGAGAGAGGCAACTGAGCCTATGATCAGCCTCCTCTCACACGCAGCTGTAATTGAAAGGGAAGGTGAAGACAAAGGGAAGGACATATTTAAAGATGGTTCCTGCGTTTGGGAGGCTGGTATTGTGCACAGTAGATTAAGCCACTGCCTACAGTGCTGGCATCCTGTATTGGTGAAAGTTGAAATCCCCACTGCTCCATTTCTAACTCAGCTCCCTGCTAATCTGCTGGGAGCAGAGAAAGATGGCTCAAAAAGCTTATTCTGGGGCAAACACATTGAAATATACTCAGATTGAATCTTCAACAATTTCATGAAAAAATTAAGAATGAAGTTCATGAATTTTTACACCAAAAATTTATCTTTTAATTCAATTTTCCCCACAATTCAAACTTCCTGGCACATCTTCATGCATTTAGTGGTTGATGCTGTGGCAGCTGTATAGTCAGTGGCTATTAAATATGAGCTGTATTCTTGGAATAAGTCATTTTGCAAAATCTTTAAGGAAATGTAGATTATGCCAAGTAAATGTTACATGACCAAGAACGGTGTGTTTGTTTAATGTAACTAGCTTAATGCCGAGACATCTGTGATATTCATAATTGTTCTTGAGCTCTGAATCAGGATGTCAACTTGGCTCAGGAGGAAGTGGATTTTGAACTTTGGGAAGTTTTCATTGCATTTATCAATCAAAAACCATGAGGTGGGAGACTTCTCTCCATGAAGGCCAGTGCTAGTGCTGTTTGTGACAAAGGTCCAAGGCAACAGAAGTAGTTTTTGGAACTGGTGGAGAGCTCAAAGATACAGATGGTCATAATGCAGTCTTGAAAATACTCAAAACACAGAAGGAAATTTTAGAAAATTCTTATCCTGAATATTCTAAGATTTCCAGAGCTTACTTTAGGACTCTCATATAAATTATTTGCCCTCATGTGAATGATTCATCATGTGACTTTTCAGATGCCCGAGTGATCTGGGGTCTTGTGGGAGTTTCCATGGCATTCCCAGCTGGTTGAAATGCTGGGTCTGCTCTTACCTTCGGTTCCTTCAGGTAGCAGTGCATGGCCTGGGTGACATCGGCTGCATGGACAGCATTGTGATACGGGTTTTGACTGTGGTAATCTTCCTGAACCATGACTGAAAGGCAAAGAGATAACTCAGCTAAAACCAAAGCAGGATTGGCTCAGACTTCTTGAGGATACTCTTTGCTTAAAAATACCCATGCTTCCGAAATGTGCAGCCTGGGGGATTCCTTCAAAATGCACACAGGTTTGCAGGCTTGGCGGTTCTGCTGACTGTTTTCAGTGGGGGAGGAGGGGAAAGCCGGGGGAGAAGCCAAAAGGATTTGTGGGCCCCTGGGGATTTCTCACCTCCTTCGTAAATCAACCCTTTGTAGCGTTTATGAATACTTTCATTCATTGCAGGAATAAATAAGTAGGAAAATGACAATTTTATTTCACAGTATAGTCTAATTGGTTAAGTTTGTTGCCATTTATGAATAATACAACACAAATGAGGTTTCCTTTCAAAGACCTCTGCTGCATCCGACTACTGATATCCAAAGATTTGATTAGCATGTGAACATAAATTACTAACTGAAACACATCTGGGGAATCTTTAGGGAGAAATTCAACGTACTGTAGTGAAATAGCTGAGGGCTTCTCGCATTTATTTCTATCTTATTCAAGTCAGTGTCATCTTTTCTACTCCTCCAATCTAAGGCAAAGCTTAGAGCACTTTTGGGACTAAACAGAAAATAGGCAAGACAATTTTGGTTTGCTCTTTACAGAAGCCATTAACTATCCTGTTTAATTAATAACCAAGCAACCAATATGTTGTTTAGGATGCAGTACATTCAGTGTGTGAAGAATGGGCCGTATTGTAAGTGTGACCACATTCACCTGGCCACCTGGCCTATATTGTCCAGTTGGTTTGGAATTCTGGTGTTAATTTAGTTGTCAAGGGCTCACATGTTCTCTCAGTTAATGTATGTATACAAAGTATCTGTAGCAGCACCTCCCTCTTCAGGCAAAACTAAATTATGTGGTCCTATTCGTGGAGATTGCTGTGATAAATAAAATGCAACCAGTTTAAGGTTAAGTGGGGTTTTGGAAATGAGTCATGTTGCGACAGGCTTCAGTATTTCTGCGGTGCCCCATACATCTTTATTCAGCAGGTTTGTTTTATAATGATATTGAAACCCTCACTCGATCACTTCATCTCTGCATTGGGCAAGTTACTTACTTGCAGGTTTCCTCAGTTACCATCTCCATAAAATGGGTATTCTGTAAGGATTACATGTGTTAATACAAAGAAGTACTGGGAGCCTTTCCCACAGATAAAAGCACTATCCAGGTCTGGCTGCTGTAGCTGCCCATTATCATCATTGTCACTATTGTTTTACTTTCTCTCTCTCTTAAAGAATTATTTATTTTTATTGGAAAGCTAGATATACAAAGAGGAGAAAAGACAGAGAGAAAGATCTTCCATCTGCTGGTTCACTCCCCAAGTGGTTGCAACTGCTGGAGCTGAGCTGAGCTGAGCTGAAGCCAGGAGCTTCCTCTGGGAGTCTTTCTCCTATGCCACTACAGGGTCTCAAGGCTTTGGACTGTCCTTTACTGCTTCCGCCGGCCACAGGCAGGGAGCTGGATGGGAAGCAGGGCTGCAGGGACAGGAAGTGGTGTCCATATGGGATCCCAGCACACTTCAGCCACTAGGCTACTGTGCCGGGCCCTGTTGCTTTACTCTTGTTGACATTAAATGAACTTTCAAATCTAGAGCACAATCATGAAGCCAGGTGACTAACACAGAACAATGTTAAGTGGCAGAGGAAAGCTTTATTGAGGCATGGAAATGTGATCAGAAGAATTCGCTGACCAATAAATAAGAGCGTGAATAAGGACAAATGTCTGGGGCTGCTTTTTGTCAGGAGGCCATGATAAAGTCAAGTGGAAAGATGGTGGATTTCCATGGGCTTGAAATGCAGTTCTGTCACCTGGGAATTGTTGACTTTGGGCAAGTGATGAAAACTCCTTGTGGTTTTCCTTAGCTGTGGGCCACGTGGTTAAATGACATCCACCATTTAGATATTTAGAAAGAATTTACCAAAAGTATTCTGTCCTCACTGGACACTGCACAAATAGTGATAGCTTTTTTTTTTTCACAAAGTTTTATTGAAAGTTTTCACCAATCCGCATTTTGATTAGAATTAATTCAGGCATATCATCTGGGGTTGTGTAAATGTGTAAGCATACTGGTATATTTTTGACATCCAAATATATTATTCATATATGATAGTTTTCTCTACAAAGTCTTAGCTCATTATAGACATAACTGATCAAACAAAATTTTAATCGTTTAATGTGAATAATCCCTACTTTAAAAATTTCAGATTAGAGGGCCCGGCGCGGTGGCGCAAGTGGTTAAAGGTCCTCGCCTTGCACACTCAGGATCCCATATGGGCGCCGGTTCTAATCCCGGCAGCCCCACTTCCCTTCCAGCTCCCTGCCTGTGGCCCGGGAAAGCAGTCGAGGACGGCCCAAAGCTTTGGGACCCTGCACCCGCGTGGGAGACCCGGAAGAGGCTCCTGGCTTCAGATCGGCATAGTATCGGCCCGTTGCGCTCACTTCGGGAGTGAATCATCGGACGGAAGATCTTCCTCTCTGTCTCTCCTTTCTGTATATCTGCCTTTCCAATACCAAAATAATAAAAATAAATCTTTAAAAAAATTTCAGATTAGAATATTTTAAAGTAATTTGGTGTCTTTATGTATCATGCTATGATTCTTGTCACTTCATATTAAATAGTATTATGTTATTGTCATTGTTTCTAGAAGTTGGGCAAGAAATATGAAAAAGCACTCACCTAAAAATCTGTGTAAGGTCACCATGTCTAACTTGAAATGGTGAATGAGTCCATGCGTATTAAATAGGTGGCACAGCAGTGTTACCAGGCTGTTTCCTGTAGGAAAAGAGCAACTATTTTAACTCACTTTTATCACTATGAAAATAGCAAAATTGACAGTAAGATTTATAATATCTGAGATGAGATTTATCAAAGACAATATATATTTTTTTCCTTTGGATTTGGGATTATTCATCAATGGAGTCCAAAAACCTATGAACTGGTCCTGGATATTTTCATTATTGGCAAGTAAAGAGATAACAGACGTGCTCTGTACACTACAGGCAAAGGAAACAGTAAGAGTTAAAGTGAACTTGCCTCCTGACACCTCACATATGTATTTGTGTATATATCTATGTATGATTATATACATAGTTGTGCTTGTATCTGTACTTCTAAAGACATGGCTAATGTTCACTTGAAATATGGCTAATACATTTCCAATTTATTCTTATATTGACATGGGTACCTAAACCACCTTGTTAAGTAAGCACAGTCTATTTTTCCTATGGAAAATCACTTGAGAAGATTTCACTGCAGATATTTTAAAGTCTAAAGCAGCATAGATCCAAAATCGAAGTTAGAATTCTGAGCATTCAAGAAATGTGGTTTACTTAAGAATAATGATTTTGAATTTTAGAAGTACTATTACACAGCTTAAAGCAGACTTCAAAATGGGCTAAGATGACTAGATGTCTTGAGTGGAAAATGTGATATTTTCTAAGCATATTATTCTCGGGTACAAAATTCAATGGGTCCCTGCAAATTTTATTGTCACAGGGTTATTTCCATAACTCTCAAAGTTAGAAAGAATCGATAGCACTGCGCATGATTTTTGATGATGAAATTAGGAAATGAAATTAGGTGGAAATATAGTGGCTTTTTCCCTCCCAGTTGTAGCTATTTAAAAATTTCATTTCTTGACATGTGTTTGTGTTTGGAGAACTATACTATAGAATGATATTGGGGAACTCAGTGATGAGGGAGGCGATTGGGGAGGGGATAAGGGAAATCCCACGATCTATGAAACTATATCATAAAATGATAATAATAAAAAGAAGTAAAATAAAAAAATAACATAAAATGATGACAAATAAATAAACAAATTTTCATTTCTTAACTTCATATGTGTGTGTATGTGGTCCTTTTAATTTTCCTAAACTGTTACTAGATCTCTAATTAATATAGTGAAAGAAAACCCTTGGGATGTGTTCATTGAAAGCCATCATCAAGTTTTTTTTTTTTTTTTAAAGAAAAACAAATACCTTTTGATATGTTCTTTTGTTTACAATGAATTCTATTTACCAATATCTATTTCAGTTGAATCGAGCAAAGTGAAATGCAAGCTTGTGGGATCCATTTCTATGTGGCCTGGTTAGCTTTTCACAATGTAAAATTGTTTCCTGGTCTTGGGTTGTATCTTTCTCATTTCAAATTGTTTGCCGAGTAACAGAACAGTGAGAAAATGATGTGTAATGACTTAAAGGTGCATGTCTGGTAGATGACAGGACACATCAAGGTCAGCAATACATATGATGTCATTGCTAGACTTCCTAAACTTGTCAGCATTTGTTTAATGGGAAGATGGAAATATAATAGAATTTTATTATTTCCTTAAGGCTTTCACATATCTAAGAGGTGAAGCCAAGGAGAATGTTTACTTCTTTGGTCAGTTGAAGCCAAGTCTCTCGTTAGTGAGCATACTCTCCTGATGACACCAAACACACTGAGCTATACCTGCAAAGGGGTATACTCAGCTCACTTAATAAAGCTGGGGAGTCTGGCTAAGAAAGGGCCAGGACTGACCAGAAGTGCTTTTGTGTTTCTAGTTCTTATCAACTAACAATGAACCCCTACTTTTGGATGTACCTACAGTAGTCTGCAAGGAAAGAATATGCTCTCTGGTTTCCAAATTCCTTTGGGATCACCAAGGACTGTCTTAAGATTCCAAGGCCAATTTCAGTCCTAATTCTTCACTGGGGTTAGTTTTCCCTTACCTTGCTCCTTCTTGTGTGGCTGGAGATTTATTAGACAGGATAATGAAGGAAAAAAGTGGCAGTATTCAAAAGTACATTTTTTTTTTGTTTTCATAGAATTAATCCCACTTTCAGGGTGAGTTCTTCTGGGTAGCTTACCATTTGTCAAGCGATCAAACAAGAAAATGTCAAAGTCCCACATTCCCACTTTCGAGAGCATGTGCTGAAAAGGCAAACACAAACAGCACTCAAACAAAGCACATAGGAGACACAGCATTTACTTTGTGACACAACCACTTAGGAAGTGGAGAATAGGAGCATGCTACTCCCTGTGTGCAACTCATTTGTAGTCAAGCAAATTTTGTTTTACACACTAATAACTATTAGCACTAACTATATTATATTTATATATATTTATATATGAATAACTAAAAACTACACATTAATAACTAATAACACACTATTAAAGGGAAACAGGTTTCAGAGTTCAATCACCTAATGTAATGTGAGTGACATCTCTCCCTGGCTGTGGGATCCTGGGCAATTCTTGAATTTCTCTGGATCTCCATTTCTTAATTTGAAAAATGTGGCTGATAACATTACCTACTTCAGAAGGTTGTAAGAAATAAATAAGGAAATAAATCTAAAGTGCTTGAAACAGTGGAAATGAATCATAAGCCCATACAGATTTGGCATCGTTTAAACAATAGCTCAGTAAAGTCTCTGCATTATAAACCACTATACCTTTAAAAGCAAGCTTTTATGACAAGTTTTAGAAATATGAAGCAAAAATGCCGAGCAGATATTCTGTTAAGTGTGGGCTGAATAGAAAATTAACCACCGAAAGATACTGATGGGGTGAGTTGTTGAAAATATTAAGTAGCTTAAAGACCTTTTATCCATGGTAGGCTTAACGGTCTGCTTTTCCTTTGTAAAATGCCTGATGGTAGAATTAGATGGTGCTTTCAGAGGCAAAGTTGTAGTGGTTGATTCCACTCTTGCTATGGATCCTCAAACTACAGTTTCTTTTCGCACAGCTAGTGACTCAAGAGAATACCGTTGACTATCCCCTCACCCACCTCCTCTGGGCTTTCCACTGTTCATGCTAAAATGCAATCATCTAGGCAGGGCACACAAAGACCTTACTCACACATCAGAAAATGAAGAGCTATTAGGTGCCCATTGAGATATACACTGAGTGTGCTTTTGGCCCAATCTCACTTTACTAAAAGCAGACTTGGATGGAGCATTTCAGCCTGTTTTTTTTTCTTTCTGCATTTCAATTTCATTTTTCTTGAGATAGGGCTGCTTAGAGGAGAGACAGCACAAAAATGCTGGGACACTGATACTGCTGTGATGGGATACCCAGTTTTGCTTTTCTGTCAACATGGCCATAGTCTCAAGCTTAGGGCTGTTAGAAGGAGAGATTCTCTTTTTTCTTCTTGTAGACCTGCTAATGGGAATTGGTTCTAATGTTACCTGCTGCTCATTTCTTTATGATATATTTTGTAAATGTTGCATGTATTTCTTGACAGTGGGTGGAGAGTATAATATTAAATCAGCATGTGCTATAAAATAGTTTCACTTCTGCTTAAATTGGGCAGTTTCATCCTAAAATTTAAAGTTTTTGGTGGTCAGGGTTAGAGACAATCTGGAAAATTTATTTAGATAGTTACACCTTAATTTCTGCTCTCAGTCTGATCAATTCGTTGCAAAAACTATTGTAATTGTTACAAAAATTATTTGAATGGAAGCTGCCATTGTGTTGTAGTAGAGTAAGTTGCCGCTTGGGACAGGGTCACCCAGTTTGAGTCTTGGCTGTTCTATTTCAGATTAAGCTCCTTATTAATGCACCTGGGAAAGCAGCATAAAAGATGGCCCATGTGCTTGGGCACCTGCCATTCACATGCGAGATCCAAAGAGAGTTCAAGGCTCCTGGTTTCAAACTGGTTCAGCCCTGGCCATTGCAGTGGGAATGAACAAGCAAATGGAAGTTATCTCTCTTTTTCTGTCACGCTGCCGTTCAAATAAATGAAATAATTCTTTCAGACACTATTTGGAAGGCTGGTACATTGGCTCAACTGGCTAATCTTCCACTCCCAATTGCTGACATCCTGTATGGGTCCCAGTTTGTATCCTGGCTACTCCACTTCCCATTCAGCTCCCCGCTTACGGCCTGGGAAAGCAGTGGAGGATGGTGTAATGCCTTGGGAACCTGCACTTGCATGGGAGATCTGGAGGGAAGCTCCTGTCCCAAGTGGCTGCTGAGGCCACTTAGGAAGTGAAATCAGTGGATGGAAGACCTTTCTGTCGATTTCTCCTTCCCTCTGTAAATCTGCCTCTCCAACAAAAATAATTAAATCTTAAAAGAACTATTTGAATAAATTAAAACTATAAAAAAGATAACATGCTGTACCAACAGATGAAAGAGGATTTGAGTCAATATTCATTTGGCTATTTCATTGTATTACAAAGAGATAATTGAGTGGATTAAACATTTTTAAAGTATTCCTTCATTAGTAATCTACAGTCCAAATATTTACTTCTCTCGATGTGCAAATATTTTGTCCATTTATACACCTGAAAACAGCTATATGTGCTAGGCATGATTGCATTAAGTTTATAGATATGCTGTATTGCACTACCCCTTGTGTTGCTTCTGAGAGAGGTGGATGTTTCTAATAATTTTGTATTTGAGGAAGAAAAATTCAGATGTGTTGTATAATTGGCTAGCTCAGAGTCACAGAGTTCCTTGGAGCAGAGTAGGATGCAAACCCAAATGTCAGGTTGGGAGAAGGGCCCGGCTGGGCCTATAGTCAGTAGACCACTCTGCTTCCTTTCCATCCCTTGTGGCCCTGCACCTGCGGCTGTGCACATACACTAGGCTGGGAGTAGGCTATTAGCAAGGGTAAGCAGCCTGTGCTCTCACATCATGTTGGCCTCAGATGGGTCAGGATTCCCGATCTCAGGGCCCAGACCCTGTGTGTGTGTGTGTGTGTGTGTGTGTGTGTGTGTGTGTGCGGTTTTGCCTCAGCACATACATTGCCTAATATGAAACCTGTATTGATGACTACTGCATAAAGGAGAGAACAATATTTAAGGGTGCACAAAAACTAAGTCTGTCTACTCTGTAAACTAACCAAAGACTTCAAATAACCTCTTCATAAGGAAAAGAGAAGTAAAGCTTTGGCTCTTGCCGTATCAAGGCTGCTGTACTTTAAGTCAGACATCTTTTTTCCTCTCTCTTCTGATCCTCTCTAAAAGCTGCTATCGGTAAGAGGATTCCATAGTGAGTTCTTTTAATAAAATTTCAGAAGATACTGATAGGTCAAAAGAGGCTAATTTTGCATTAGGCTGTTTGACCTACTCTTCAGGCCAATCTAGACAGCAAATACCTAGTCCTTGGGTACTGTGTCTTAAGTAATCATGAATAACCAACAGGTCTTAAAGGACAAGGAGGAGCTTGTGCAGTGAGTAGTGGAATCTGTCACCGCCACTCTAACAGTAGCAATTCATCACTGAAACAGACAAACGGGAGGATTTTACAGTCTGCTGGGGGCAAACATCATCCAGCATTTGGGAAATAATGAAACACAATTTTCCTTCTTAAAGAACTCCATCTGCAATTTCAGAGCAGCAATGACAATGTGGAGGGAACAGCGATGGGCACCAATTGGAAATTCTCTGACTTGTGAGATGGATCCATTCAATGAAATAGGAAGAGCTTTTCAAACCCAGGATAGGCAAACACTACGCTCCTAATCAGTAGGAAGAAGCTACGGAAGATGTGTGGAATCTGCACCTTTCAGCGACTCTTAAGATTAAGGGCCAGAATCTCTGAAGGAAGAATAAAACAGACAGTTAGCTAAGGAATTTAGGGTCCCAAGTTGGAAGCCACATCTCCCCCACCCATCTGCCTACCTAGTAATTAAGTGACCTCTCTCTCAGGATGTACTTCGCCTCATCTGGATCCTGGGGGTTCATAAGAAACCTGGCCTCCTGACCCCCATGCTCACAGCATGGAAGGTAGAAATAGGTCTCTTTCCCTGCTTTTCCCTTCCCAGTTCACTCTATGCTCATCCATATCTCTGATTTTTTTTCACCTTTTAAATGAACTTTAACTTTTAAACTTTTATCAGTTTTGAATCCATTACACTGTTTAATTATCCTATTATGATGATCAGGGTATGGAAATATCCCTTGATAAGTTAGTTAAGTTTTTTTTTTTAACCACAAATGAGTGTAAGTTTAATGAAAATATTGTTTTTCTTTGCCTGTTAGGTGAACATATGAATTGATGTTTTTCAACATGTGAGGGAATTACAATATTTAATTTTCTAAAATCTAATCAGTCTTGCATTTCTAGAATGAATCCAAATTTAGTTCCAGATTCTTAAGTCTAACTACAAGCTTTTTGACTTTTTTTTTACATTCTTAACCATGAATGACATTAGCATATCATTTTATATATGGTAATGTCTTTATCAAATGTTGTGTAGAGGTTATATGTATCTTCTAAATTTAAGATTTAATCTGTGTATTCCATAAAAAGTGATAGAGCTCTATGGAAATAAAAGATGTTGCACTCATTACTTTGTTAATAAGACTATAAAATATGGATTCAATCTTGTAGGATTAACTAGTGTTTCTTCTTGAGCATATACGGTAAGTTACTAAGAAATAAATGCATGTTTTTCAACTCATGGAAAAACGCCCTCAGTGTATCCACTGAGGTTTATGCTCATGGCCATGGCCTTCTGTGGGGAGCCTGAGGGATCAGTAGCTTACCCTTGCTTGTCCCAGGTAGTCTTCATCCAGCAGGTGGAGAGGGGCTTGTGGTATAATTCCACGAAGCAGCCTTGATGCATGGAAGTATCTTTGAAAGCTTAACAGTCTTTTCACCTTTTTCTTGGTGCCAATTTCCCCTGAGTATGTTGTATCTGTGGAAAGTAATCAAATTCAGAATGTTATGTATTTAGGAGAACCTATGCTCTCCTCTATGTCAAAATAATATAATAAAAGGAGAGAAGTTTAGAAGATGTTTTCAGTTCTTTCTTAAATATGATCAATATTTTCTTAAATTTAGCTCTGTATTTGAAATTTTTCTAAACTCTATGTGGTATTTATTATATGTTACATTTATCAACACATGAAGAAACTTCTGAAAATCTCATTTTCTTGTTAGTGATGCTGGTGCTTTTAGAAAGTGAAATTCACAAACTTCAGTCATTATTTGGAGGGAATAGCAGTTTTTTTTTTTCTGCTACATTAGAACTGAGTCTCCAAGATCTGGACCAAATTCCTATTCTGCACTATTTTTAGTTTGATGAATTCCATTTGAAGAGAAGAGCTGTCAGAATACCAGTGTAAGCTAGAAAAGGTTTCTTAATGTACCAGAAACATCACCAGTGAGGGACTAGATCATCTTAACATCCAGAGATGTAGCAGAGTGCATGTGGCCAGGTAGCCATTACATTTCGTGTTGTCAAGAGAGACATTTCAATACTTGTGTCAAATGCACTTTTCAAAGAACTTGACTGTGAGATTGTCCAGCAATACCCCAAGAACATTATTTGGATGTCTATGAAGATGTGTCTTAGCTCAGCTGGAATTCTATGATTCACTCTAATGGTAAGGAATGACATCTTCTACTGTCAAAGTATCAATCTTGTCAGAAAATCAATACTTCAAATACAAAGTAATTTCAGTTTCTGTCATACCTTCTCCCATCTCCACCTTCCTGCTATGAAACTCAAAATCACAAGGAATGCCAGAACCAGGAAGCACAGGAAACAGTTGGCACTCCCTGTTGACAGTGAGTGGCCAGAATTGGGGTTTCTTAGGCTGTGTTATACACGTAAAGGCATAATTTGGGGCTGGTAACACCTTCTGTTCTCTGGAAACTCGACCTGATTAAAATGATTTTTTTTTATAAAATGGATCTATATTTCACAAGTACCTGTCGAAATAAAGAGTACAACTGATTTTGCATTCAGATGCACTTCAATGTTATGACTGCTATATGTGGATGCTATTCTACTAGTGAGTTTGCATTTATTTTCACCAGTTTGTTAAATCAAAGTGTAACATAAAATGATTCACTCCTGCATTAAAGAACATTGAGTGCCTACACTGCAGAAGCATTGTTGTAGATGTTAGAGTTTTGGATACTTCAGTGAGCAAAGTCCAGATCTCTACCCTCATAGAACTTATACTGCAGCAGAGAGATGGACCATGAACAATAAACAGCAAGACTGAGTAAATTGTAGACTGCATTAGAAGATGATAAACATAGAGAAGGAAAAATGGTGAACCAAGAGCAGGATATCAGGAGTTCTATGTTAGGAGGAGCTAACACTGGCTTCATGAGTGGGTGTAATGTAGTTAAAACTTGAAGCAAATGAGGGAATTGGCTTAGCAGATACCTGGGGAAACATCTTTTATACAGAGGAACTGACTTGACCAGTTCTCAAGGGGAGAAGATTCCAGGGGTGCTTGCTTGTGAGAACAGAAAAGGTTTATTATGGGAGGGAGGAAAGAGAACAGGAATGTGAGAGGTGAGATCTTATAACAAAGTAGTGCTGAAAACACACAGGAGTCAGGAGGTAGGGTCTCTTGAGATCTTGGGTTTTAAGCCAAGTGACATGCTATGCCCTGTAAAGTTTTGAGTGGAAGAGTGATATGAACATACCTACTTAAAAGATGATCAGCATGGCTTCGGTTTGAAGTAGGGGTTGATTTAGTATGAAGAGTTAAAAGGCTATTGAAGTAATCCAGGCAAGAGTGATAGCTGCCCCAACTACAAGAACAGCAGTGGATGGAGTAGTTGTGGTGGGTTTATAAGTATAGTTTGGATATTTCCATGTTTCTGAGAGATTGAAGCTTCCATCCCCTGAGATGAGGAAGGCTACAGGTATTCTGATTTATATATGCAAAATTGGGTGTTGATGGAAACTTCAGGTAAAGTTGTCAAGAGAAAATAAGTGAATGTGAAACCGAGAACCTGTGAGAAAAGACTGGACTAGAGATCAAAATTTGAGAGTTTTCAGATGAGAGGAGGTGTAAATGCTTAATGCAAAAAATCTAAGTTCTGGAGGACTTCTACATTAGAATGGTGCAAACATTAGACCAAGAAAAGAGCATCCCTTGAGGATAGAGGAAACTCCAGACAACATCATTTCTTGCATGTCTAATGAGGATAGCAGGACAAGAAGGAAAATGTACTCATTTGGATCAGATGCTGCTGATGGGTCACGTACAATGGAGACTGAGAGCTGACAGTGAACTTCAAACTCAAAGTGTAACAACACCACTCTGGTAGCAGTGAGAACATCCATCATCCAGATTTTGTTTTTAAAATCTGCATGCTTCCTAAAAAGAATCAAACCACCTGGTGTCATAGACAGTTGAAATAACCAGGGCAGGGACTGTACCACATGAGAATGACCTTTTGTTATGTCAGAAGATAAAGCGAGAGCCTGAAAAAAGGGTATGGTCACTGGTCACTTAAATATAACAATTTTCAGGGGTTGCTCCGAGCAAATTTGAGCCTCAAAAAGAATGATGGAAGAGTGGATTATATATAAAGCATTACCTGAAATAAGAACCAATGAAACTACATTGACAAACAAGTAGAGAATAAGGAAAATTCTCCCTTGCAGTTTGGGAAGTTAGAAATGTAGACGAAAGAATAGAGTTGGAAAACTAATCTAATTTGTGTCCATAAAAGTAAAAACTGATTCAGGTCAGGACCACTGATTGTGCTAATGTTATAAAGCAGAGGGAAATTGCATTTTATCAAAGGATCTCCTTACAGAGGACTTATTAGTTGGAGATGGGGAAATGTGTAGTTTTTTATTACATTGAGTAGTCATAGAAGAAATCTGATACTTCTGATGTTAAGTACTGAGGAATCACATGGCATATGTAGTTTTCCTGCACAAACATATCAGTAAAGAGAAAACATGAGAAAAACTTAAATCAAAGGACACTTTCCAAAATAAGCAAACTGTACTTTTAGAAAAATGTTAATGTCATGAAAGACGAAGGTAATGTCAGATGTTGTTTCATAATAAGGAATACCAGAGATAGCGAGAAAAATGCAACATATGAGCATGAATTGAAGCCAGGGTCAGAGAAAATTTTCCATAAATGACATTATAAGGCAGTTTGTGACATTTGAGGATTGACTTACATATGAGACAATATTATATATACAAATTTCTTGAATTTGATCACTGAACTGTGATAACACAAAAGAATGTCCTTGTTTTTAGAACACTGAGGTGTTTAGAGATGAAGGGCCAAACAAATTTTTTAAGTGATTAAGGGAAAGAAATAGAGTAGTAAGGCAAATATTGCAAAATGTAACAACTGGAGTAGATGGGAAAAGTTATTTTATAACAGATTGTTTAAGAAAAGAGAAAACTGGAAGAAAGACATTTGAAGCAACATAAATAAATAAGTGAAATAAACCATTTCTCTGTTCTATACATGGTAAATCTAAAAGGAAATGTCCATGTGAGGACCTGTTTCTTTTTGAATATACATGAAAATTCACTCGTTTTAAAAACACTAAAAGGAAATTGCATTGTAGCAGATAGTATGCTTTTGTTACACATTAAAATGGGACCCTAACGAGATAGTGCCGAATGATGAAAACATACTATAAACGTAGCAAATTGAAATTACAGAGTATTTCTTTTTAAACTTCCATTTAGCTTTCCAAGCAGTGTGATACTTTAAACAGATTCATAGTTAGGATAATGGCATTTCAATTAAGTTACATATGGCAAAAACAGATAATAGGAAGCATGGTTGCAATTCATTGCAATCATAATTTTAAATAAAATATTTCTGAACTAATGATATGGGAACTGGGAATATTAAAGTTTGATTCATTTTTAGAAGAAAACAGAAGATTATTTCATTCCCCATTATTTTTTCCACCCTGAAGTCAAGCAGGAAATACTCCTGGTAACTAATAGAATACAGATATCATTTGTTCTTTATTTACATGCTTGATATTTTGTTTCTCATGGACATTTTGGTCTTAATTTTGATTTTAAAACTACATTAATTTATGCTATTTGGTACCTTTTTACGTTTTGAGTCTGAAGATCAAGTCTCACTCTTCTTATACTAGTCCTGGCCTGTCTTGCGTTGTAGGAACAGAGGCACAGAAAATACAAAAATAAAATAGGGACTGGCACTGTGGTACAGTGGGTGAAGCAGCTGCCTCTGAGGCAGACACATTCAACTGAGCATCAGTTTGAGTCCTGGCTGCTCCATTTCTGATCCAGTTCCCTGCTAATGCCCTTGGGAAAGCAATGGCAGAAGGTACAAGTGCTTGGGTCTCTGCCACCCACCCAGGCCTCCAGTTTCAGTCTGACCCAGCCCCAGCTTTTGCAGCCATTTGAGGACTGAATTAGCTGATGAAAGGATCTCTTCTCTCTCAGTCTTCCCTCTTTGTAACTCTGGCTTTTAAATAAATAACTATATCCTTAAAAATAAAATAAAATGAAATTAATTTAAAAACTTACACTTGTTACGGAAGTCTGTAGGGTAACCAGACCATAACATTATGTGTTTAGCTACTAAGATAATGGGCAAAAGTCCCATGTCCCTTATTAGAATAGCTGTTTTTGATTTCTGGCTTTAGTGCTCCACTGATACAGACCACAAGAGGCATGGTGCTGGATCAAGCAAACATGTTGCCACCAGCCACTGGGAGGCTTGGATTGGGTTCACATCTCCTAGCTTCAGTCCTCCCCCAGGCCTGGCCATTGTGTATATTTGGGGAATGAGCCAGTGGATGGAAATCCTTTCTTTTTCTGTCTCTCAAATAAATAAAACAAATACTAAAAAACATAGAAAATGTTATTCAAATTGGTTTTCATAATATTCTTTGCTTTTAAAAATGATGCATTTGTTAATTGAT